GAAGTGGTACCCGGTAGTCTTTCATAGTAGGAAGTTCTACCCAGCAGAGATAAATTATTATGTAGATGACACAGAAATGACTACCATAGTAGTGGTGTTCAAGGAATGAGAACATCTGTTTAGGTCAGTAGAGGGAGAGATTTCTGTTTACACTGACCATAAGAATTTGCAGTACTTTAATAGTACAAAGACCCTCAACCGCCAACAACACCACTGGGCAGAATTCCTGCCACCATTCAATTTCATGGTGGTTTACCGTGAAGGAAGGCTGAACATAAAGGCAGATGCACTGTCAAGGCATGGTGACCATCACCCTAAAGGGGAGAGTAATTCTCTATTAGAGACACCAGAGCCATTTTTTCACCCCAGACAATAGGTTGTGGGACAAAAGCAAGACCTCTTATGGCTACACTCACTGGTAGCCTGTCAGGGTTACTGGTTGCAATCATCATTTTTGTATGCATTGCGCATTGCAGCGAGACAGGCTCCTCTCTATATGAAGGACTTAAAGGCTGTATTGGCAAATGACAAAGAAGTCAACTGCAATCTGGCAGTAGAAAAGGATCTCCTCCTGTACAAGAATAGGTGGTACATTCCGGACTTGCAGGATCTGAAGGATAAGATCATGGAAGCTGAACATGACTCCTATATTGTGGAACACTTTAAGACATACAAGACGGTAGGCAGAGTTAGGGCTAATTTCTTCTGGCCTAAGATGGATGAGAGCATTATAGACTATGTTCGTACATGTGATGTCTGTCAAAGAAACAAGTCCGTTAAACATAAGAGGTTTGGCTTATTAGAACCTGTCAGAGTACCTTTGAGGTCGTGGATAGATATCTCAATGGACTTCATAGTAGCGCTACCTGAATCAGAAGGGCATATAAAAATTTGGGTAATTGTGGATAGATTCTCAAAGATGGTACACTTTATACCTTTGGCCACAGAGGTCCCAATAAAGGATCTGACCCTGATATTCCTGAAGGAAGTTTGGCGGCCCCATGGGCTCCCAGAATCTATTATCTCTGACCGAGATAGCTGATTCACATCCAAGTTTGGGATGAGCCTAATGCAATAGTTACAACTGAAACTATGGTTATTGACCGCTTTCCACCCTGAGACTGAAGGGCAGACTGAGCGGATGAACCAGACCTTGGAACAACACTTAAGAAATTATTGTTCATACCAACAGGATGATTGGGCATCACTACTACTACCCTTAGCGGAGTCTGTGTACAATACATCCGCCTCCAAGTCAACTAAGTTATCACTATTTGAGATCAACTATGGCTTAACCCTTGGACCAACTTGTCGGGTACAGTATCGGAGCAACGAGGTGTTCATCCCAGTAGCGAGCTGTTAGTTAAGAACTAGGAAGGTTTCTGGCAAGAAGTGCGAGATATGCTTAAGCAAGGTGAAGAGAGACAAAGGAAATGGCATGATCAGAAACAGTTGCCATCCCCGGAATATGTTATGGTGGAAGACGTGACTAACAGAAGGGCAAAGAAGGGTGATCGCATAATGCTAAATCGAAAGAATATCCACACTAAGTGATCTATGGACAAGCTGGACCACTGAATGTTTGGGTCCTTTGTGGTCAAGCGCAAGGTTGGAAACCGAGCTTACGAACTCCTATTACCTGCCTGCTGATCTATCCACCCTGTATTCAATGTTGGACTCTTAGAACCCTATCATGAGAACCCAAGTGGTAAAAGAACTAAGGAAGTCCCAGTCCCTGAGTCAGTAGATAATGAGCCCAGCTACATTATTGAGGCAGTCGTAGATAGTCGATGGTATGGTAACATGAAAGCAAAGTTTCCTAATTGCTTCATACAATACCTAGTTTCATGGGAAGACTATAGTGCAGAGGAAAACTCTTGAGAGCCATATGAGATGCTAGAAGGCACTGGCTTAGAAGCCATAAATGATTTCCAACATTGGCATCCCCATAAACCTAGAGACTATAGGGTTCAGAGCAAACGGAACAGGGGAAATAAAAAAGGACGTTAGCGGACCGGGTCGGTCCTTAGAGAAGATGGGAGTGATGTAACGATCCTAAGTCATAGAGCTATGGCAACCTAAGTCTATGCCCATACATAAGACCATGAGGTCGGATGGTAGACTAGGCGGGCATGCTGGTGCATGTCCGAGGGATATTTGATGGTCCAGATATCCCAAAGAACAAAAGGTACTTATGTAGTGGGATAGGTGTACCTAAGGAGTGGAAGTAATTCTGACTATGTCCGCTCCAACCTAAGGATAGGTCAAAAGGTCAGGTGAGTTTACCCTGTCTAGGAGAGTTACGTTACCCTACCAGGCAGACTAGTTTCGTGTCACCATGGACATATTTACCCTACCTTTGGGACACAATTATCCTCCCTCCTGTCAGAAATATTCTTGGAAGAATTTCGGGAAATTTTAGGATTGTTTATTACATAATGACAAGCGACAGGCACTTGCTTGCATGTTGATCAGAAGGCTACAGGAGGAGCTATAGTGCTCTGAACAACTTGTAACTTGGCAGAATTATTCCTAACAGGTACCTGCGGCCCCAGGGTTCGCGCCAGGGGTCATGGGTCAAAATGGTTGAACTTGCTGTCATACTAGTTAAATGAAGTCTATGAAGACATGTCTATAACACGGTATATATTGCTGCTGTCTGTCCGACCAGAAGCTGTTCACAGGATATATATGGAGGCCAAGGTGAGAAGGTCAGGTACCTTCTGCAAAAATAACAGAGTAAAACGGACCAAAACTGACAGAGTTAGCATGAGCTATCCTGAAGGGTCTCCAGTGTAGTCCCGGGTAGTGCCAGAGACATCTGGGAAGGTTTTATGCCAATCAAGCCTACATGTGCCCCTTTGTTGTAGGCTCTTTGTGGGTTGTTTGAGGACTCTAATAGCATGATACTTATCACAGTGCGTGGTGTGTTGGGGGTAAGGGACCATGGGTAGCGCCCACAGGTCCCGCCGCCACCACAGTTCTCCACAGGAGCATCGTAGACCTTCTAGGTTCGCAGTCAAGATAGATAGAACTTAACCAGAAGACAACTGATGTCTACAAGTGCTGGCATGGGTTATACCACATGGGAAGAGAGTCATTTAGCTAGCTTTCCTAGGTAGCTCGACAGTTAGCCATTGGCGAGGTACTGATGCGCAGAAGTTTTTACTCTGACAGATGTATTGGTAAATACCTCACATTGAACTGATGTGCATACCGGAGATTTCTACTAGAGTGCGCTGACACCTAAGGCCCTTCGGGAATATGGTAATGGTGCCAGTCAACCCTTATGGGGAAGGGCATACTCATGTTGGTCAGGGTAACCTGATAGGGGAGTTTTTAGTATAAGTCTAACTACTCAAAGATTATATGGGAACTCTCCTACCTTGATACAATTAACATCCTCTCGAGAGACTTTAATTGAGATAAGCCAGAGCTTAACCATATTAAGTTTTACAGTTTACTTTCATTCTTTACACTTTGCAAGAGCTGTGTTTGTGACATTTGAAGTTTGGTGCAGTCATATCCTTAGAAGCCATCTATCTGAGGGAGTCCCCGTTACAGTAGTAGTGATTCAAGTTCAAGTTAATCCTTGCATCCAACAGTCTTAATACAAATAGCATCTTCCAGTAGTCTTTAAAAGGACTGTGCTGTTACCTGAAGGGCCCAGATATTATCTTTAGGTGAGATACCTATAGGACCCTGTTCACTGTCTGAGAGAGTTATTAGAACAGACTACAGAACAGGTATCTGTTTAGAGTGGACTTGAGCCCACAGCTTTTCATTCCAGCAGTACCAATATGAACTTCCTCTGAGAGTGGTGGGGCCGGAAAGTCCTCCAGTTTCTCACCGTCTCCCACAGCCCCCTACAGCCCTCACAGCCTCCACACTTTCCCAGGTTGTAGCTCTTACAGTTTTTTATAGTTTTCCTATTTTCCTATAGTCCATTCCAGCCCCTCACAGTTCTTCAGGTTCACCTCTAGTCTTTCATCTCCTGTGGTTCTACAGAAAACTTCAATATCTTCACTAGTCTTATTTAACTTAATAGAATATATCTTATAGTATTTAGCTAATAGTATTTCTTGGTTGAAAGGTTGGAGTTGATATCACAGATCAGTACTGCAGTTATTACTTTACACAGTTAAATTGTTTACAGAACTGACCTCCTATATTTTATTAGCTCCTCGATCTGACAGTCATTAATTCCTTTCTGCTTTCCTGCTACATATCTCCACCCTACCAGTATCATGATTCCTCATACTCCTTCTACCTTATACTCACCAAATCTCTTTTTGAACAATATAGTTCAAGGTATAATCCGACTTGAAAGACCTATTATACTTGAAAAACCACTTCCCCCCATTATAGTAAGCTGTAACATAACACCTCACTATCTCTTCCACAAGGAACTCTATCTGATCACCAGTTTATCTGCCAAGCCAACTCAATAGTTGATTGTGCTCAATGTCAGTTTACACTTCACGGAATGAATCAAAAAGGTATTCAAGCACCACTCACCTAGTTTGATTGTATTGGACCTGGATGTGGGTTTTCACTCTGCTTAAATTCTTTTAATAGTTGGCATAAATACCTGTCCAGTTAAATTATATTCTTGATTTGGACTTCCGAGTCTATTTGATTTCAGATACTTGTAGTTGGTATACTCTTAATCATGGCTTCTACATGTCTGGTTGTAATGTTTCTGGAATTCTGATATCACGTGCTTGTTACACTAGCACTCACTTTCCCTTTTTGGATTTTTTTGTCAGATTGGTGTGCCTGGCTACGAATTTTACTGTTTCAAACCACCCAAGGGATACCGCTTGCTGCATGATGTAATACTGGCAGTGCAAGAGTAAAACGGCGCTCAAGCTAAGCCACATGAAGCGCATCCCACACAACCCCCTTGGCATTGGCCAGCCCGCCGCACCAAACGTCAGGCATCATATCATAATTAGAAAGATTCTTCCATACCCGAAACTCCCCTTCCTCTGACCCTCCCCACAATCGCCACCACCCCCTCCCCCATTGGCCGCTAGAATGGTCTCTCCAATCCTCTGGCGCTGTCCGCAAATGCCACACATCATCTACCCTTTTAAATCTGGACTACGCATTCACAGCTTCACTACAACCTCACCGCTCTCCGCAAAGCCATTAAAACCCAAGGGATCCCCCCCGTCGTCCAAAATGAACCCAGGAAAGCAGCGTATGCAGTCCAGCAAGGTCCACGTGAAGAAGAAACCCATCATGGTGCAGAAGCCCGCCTACGAAGTCGGCCAACGCAAGGAACTGCGAAAGCGTATCGTCCTGTCGAACACCAATGCCATACCGGTGGTACTGCCGACCATGACGGCGGACCTGATTGGGAACGAGGACGCCGCCGGGGCGATGTTTGCGCTACCGAGCAGGGAGGCGGACACGATTGTCGATCGGCTGAGAGCGCTGGAAGCATTCCAAACGAAGCAGCACTGGCCATTTTTCTACCGCCCGTGCACCCTTTTCCGGAAAGAGACGGTGGAGGTTGGGAGATTGTTGGAGAGGGTCATGAGGCGGGAGGGTGCAGGAGAGGATGGGAGGGTGAATGAGAGGGCGATATTGCATGGGTATTATGGGTGTGGGAGGAGCATGCTCTTGCTGCAGGCCATGACTTGGGCACTGCAGAAGGAGTGGGTAGTTATTGCTATTCCGAATGGTGGGTTCCCGGATCGCTCATTTTGTATGGGTGAGGGGGAGATGGAGTTGCGCTGATGGTGGGTAGCCCAGGACTTGGTTATTGGACACACCGAGTATGAGCTTGAGGGTAATTCGCATCTGTGGCTGCAGAAGGCCTACACTACGGATCTTTTGAATAGGGTATTGGAGGCCAATCAGAAGACCTTGAAAGGAGTTGGATTCCCGTCTTCCTGCCCTGCGAGGGCAATGGTCACTAACTCCGCACTTCTTTCCAGATGAAAATTTCACAAAGCTATCGTCTGGGACGAACAGACGAAGTCCAGAAAGGCGATTTAATGAAAACGGTATTGGAAACTGCAGTTCTGGATCCATTGCTTGCTTGGGATGCGTTCAACGCTCTGCTGGGAGAATTGAGTTTACCGGGAAGGTAATTATTAATACCCCAACCCTCCCCCTACATCGCTTCCGGCGATGAAGAATTATCAGATGTAGAGATATTTTATCGTCCAAGAACGCAAAAACTGTGTGGATATTTCCGTTACCTTCTGAGGAATACTTTCAACCCAACTTCAGCCCCAACATGTATCGAACCCTGGGGTATATATATGCTAACAAACTAATTGAAACCCACCAGCCCCCCAGCACTGTTCGCACTGGACAACCTCAACCAGATCTCCATCCCAAGTAAATACCGAGATCCGGCTTTCAACGCGATCCACTCCCACGATCTCGCCCTTCCGAATACATTCCTTGCATACCTATCCGGCAAGCGTGGCTTTCACAAGGGAGTCACCCTCGCCGCAACATCATCAAAATGCTCTCGAACGTTAGCCCTCGATGCAGCGCTTGAAGGTCGGGGAGTCGACCCGTACGAGAGACTCGACCCAAGAATTGGACCCTCGATTGAGGGTGCTCAGATCATCCACGTGGACAGCCTGAGCAAGGAGGAGGCAAAAGCCCTCATGGACTACTACAACGAGAGCGGGATCATGAAGGACCCAGTAGACATCGCCACTTTCAACGAAAAATATGCAGTGTCAGCTGGTAATCCTAGAGACCTGTTCGGCGCTTGCTTACGGATAAGGCAGTGAATAAGTGAGTATACCCTGTAATATAGCTTTTCTGTCCATACGTTCTAGAAAATAGAGAACAAACAGCTGTATCATGTTTCATACTACCCCCCCCTTCTTTTTTTCCGTATATATACCGCTATCGTGAGGACGTTAATCACTATCCAACAATCTACCCACTCCTAGCATACTCCTGATCCTCAACACTCCGAATAACCCGATGAGGCTTGAGCCCATTTGCAACGAGATAATCCCCATTCGGCAAATCGTTCTCATCAGCCCTCTTCGCCGCGGCCTCCCGTGTATCCGCCAACCCCGCCTTCAAGTGTCTAGCAATCAACCTCTCCCTCGCGATTCCCCGGTCCACTTCCACGAACCACAGCTCGTCAAAAAGCCTTGCGATATCTCCCCATACGTCCGTGCCCATGCTCAAGTAATTCCCTGACTCTCACCATATGCATTAAAACCATGCCCATGAGAAGGCGAAACGGGGGGGGAGTGACCTTCGAAAATAAGCACCCGCTGCGAACTCAATATCTTGATGTCGTCTTCCACCGGGTCCTTAATAGCGTGATCAAAGGACGGCGCGTATATTAGCCTTTCTTCCTCCTCTAGCGGGGCTTTTACCTGCTGGATCAGCAGCTTTAAAGATACAGGGTCGAAAGTGAAGGGCGCACCGCGGCGGGCATGTGCTTCGATGGGATCGGGCATTGCGGAGAGGGTGGCACGCGTTAAGTGGTAGCCGTCCTAGCCATTATTCATCATCATTATTACTATAGGTCTGTGAATTTAATTGAGATTGCAAGGGCGGTAAAGTGAACTGAGGGGGGGGAAGAAACCATTGGAATCATAGCTGCTACGTCTCCAATTTTCGATACGGCGTTTAGGCCCTCCGTGACCCTTCTTGCGAGCGTGGTCTTCCCGCTGCCGGGGATTCCAGAGACGCTGATTAGGAGGCGAGTTTTGGAGGGGAGGGTGGAGAGTTTCTCTACAAGTATCGTGGGTTAGCCCAGATTCTGGTATGGCGACTTGGGATCATAGCACGATATAATTGACGGAGATGATATTATGGCGCTTACGGTTTGTATGCTCGACGAGCTCTTTGATGACTTGCTCCATTGTGAGGGTTGTTTGGTTTGGTTAGACTTGTGCGTATGATAGAGGGCTTAAATTTATCGATCGCCAGCGGGGTCGTGGTGGGTTATCATGAATTCTGCCCCGCTGTTGTACCGTGCACAGGTAGACATTTGCTGCTCTCCTCGCGGGGTCTTCCGTTGATGGGCGTTCGGACCCGTGTCAATCTTTTTCACTGCCCTCACCTGTGCTCGAGTACCACTTCCCACCCCAAAAGTCGTTCTCTACGATACAATACCACCGCTACCAGACAACGAATAACCTCCAACATGATTGATCTGGGCCTCAAGAGGATTGCAAGACTAGTGCGGGATCAGGGAAAGTTTCCCTGGAGAGCGATTCATGTGAGAAACTTACCCTTCATCCATCTGTTCGCTCGTTTATTCAGCCAACCACTAACCGGGCATCCCAAGGTCGCGGGAACAAATGGAAAAGTGCGTCAACCGAGTGATCACTCATGCCCAAACCTTCGACAGGCAAGCTAACGTTGACGAAAAAAAACGAAAAAACGAAAAAAGCAACTGCTACAAATAGGGCTCTGTATGCGCTTACATATCCTCCTGTCTCAAGTTCTCGGGCATCCCAAGTGCGCGCTTCACCTCGCCGCACCTGGTCGACCGCTGGGATTGTATAACCCTCGATGGTGCCGCAGTTAGCGAGGAACTCTTCCTGGCAACCGAAGCCGCAATCAAGCAAAAGAACGCGCGGGAGAACATCGGCGCCTCCGAGTTCGAGATCCTGACGGCCACCGCGTTCGAAATATTCTCGCGGGAGAGGGTTGACCTCGCCGTCGTCGAAGTGGGGATCGGTGGGCGGCTGGACGCAACGAATGTTATCGGACCGCCCATCGTAACTATCATAACGAAAATTGGGCTAGATCACCAGGCCTTTTTGGGATCCTCGCTGGAGGAGATTGCTAGGGAGAAGGGCGGGGTGGTTAAGGTTGGGAGTAGGTGTATTGTCGATGGGACGAATGATGGGAAGGTGCTTTCGGTGCTTGGGAAGATGGCGGAGGAGGTAGGGGCGGAGAGCCTTCATGCCGTTCGTCCCGATATGGTTGGTGAAGGAGGGGGGGACGGGAGCATCTGCGAGATAACAACGGAGGCATTTGGAAGACAGAGGTTTGAAGAATTCCTCACGGGGAATTACCAACCGGCGAACCTGTCCTGCGCTGTTCATGCGCTTTCTCACCTGTCCAGAGAGTACCCGTCCATCACTGCGTCAACTGTCTTTGCCGGCGTTAGGAATACAAGCTGGCCCGGGAGGATGGACACGGTAGACCTATCATGCCTGTTCCCCGGGCGGGAGAGACGGGTTCTACTTGACGGGGCACATAATACCCAAGCAGCACTTGCTTTGTCAGACTACGTTACTAAAGAGCTACGGACTGGAGGGAAGTTTGTTTCCTGGACCATTGCTGCGTCGAAGGGGAAGGATGTCGAGGAGATGCTGAACATTTTGGTACGGCCTGGAGATAAAATTGTGGCAGTTGAGTTTGGACCTGTAGATGGAATGCCGTGGGTGGCGGCGACGAGTTCCGAAGACATTATTGGCGCGGTTAGTGAGATGTTTGGAGGGGAGATCGAGGCTGTTGATGGAGGGAAGGATGTGCTTGGGGGAGTGAAGACGGCGGTGGAACTTGCTGGCGAGGAGGGGCGCACGGTTGTTGCGGGGAGTTTGTGAGTATCTTCGCCGGGGAGCTGGGGGTTGGGTGCTGATTGTGGGGAATAGGTATCTTGCAGGAGATTTGATACGGATGCTAAGGAGGGTTGGGAAGGAAGGATAGCAAAATCACTTCTGATCCGGATTCTTCTTCGCGGCTTGCATCATGAATAGCTCACCAGTTGGGCAATCGCAAATGTTGATGGCTTTCCCTATGAATGATTCTCCATGCGCCAGCGATTTACTCGATTTACTCCAGGCTGAAATGATTAGACTAGTATCGAACCAGTTGGTGTTGAATTGAAGAGCATTAATCAAGATATTGCCTTGGACGACCATACAAGTATGATTAGCGTATTTTATTCGTGAAACACTAGACTCCACCCTAAAGGTATGTGCGCCTATACGGCATTGCGTCCCAGTGGCAAGCCAACACCACCCCCACCCAGTATCCTAACCAGAAATCACTACCAGGCCCATAGCCCCTCGCAACCCTCCACCCAAACATAAATCCTTAGAGAAAATCACTACCATAGGTCTCACGGGCGCTCATGCCAGCCAGCGGCATCCTGGATTAACGCGTCTTATCCACTTGCAGCCCCTCCTCCCATATGATGCCTTCATCCCCGCTCACAGAACGTCACTACCATGGGTCTCACAGGCACTCATGCCGATCAGCGGCATCCCAGATTAATGCGTCTTACCCACTCATAGTCCCTCCTCCCATACGAAACCTTCATCCCAGCTGACAAGATATCGCTACTATGGATCTCAGGGGTGCTCACGCCAATCGGCGGCCTCCCAGATTAGCGCGTGTCACCCGCAGCTCCTCCTCCAGCACGATACCCTCATCCCCACTCATAAATTGATTCACACAAACCAGAAACTCCTGCTCCAATCTAGCCCAGCAGTTTCTGTAACTCCGCAGATGGGTGTCAATAACTACGCCCCATCGCGCACCGCACCACTCTGAGACTGGTTTCATCCGCCCATATTGGCGGGCCTACCACATGACCAGTATGGTTTGGCGCTCGACAGCTATCCCATCCCACTGGTCCAGCAACTGGTGCCAGAACTTGGTATTCCACACCACCTTGCATTCCGGATACCTTTGGAAATGCCTTTGAAGGGGTTCGTATGTGGCGGTAAAGGCCCTATCGCAGGCGCCACAGCGGGTAAAGTCATCATGCAGCATGAATAGGAAGGAAACATTATTCCTTCCTGCCACAAGTCTCAAGCATCTACCATGTGGGTTAGGCGTCGCGTGCTCTGACCGACACCATCTGCACTGCCAATAGTCTGTGACCGGTCTGAGTCCGGCCGCATACAACTGACTGGAGAAGGGGTTCCCAGCCACGATTCGAACATCACCGATCTGAACATGACTAGCGGGAACACCCAGTCCCAAGTAGTCATACTGGAGCCACCACTTCTTCTACCTCAGGATATTCTCGTTGTTGAACAGCGAGTTGTGCGCCAGCCTACCGGCCTCCATCTTCTGGCAGCTGGTCAGGTGAAACTGCTCATTGCCAGAGTCGCACTCATCATACCCCACCACACCCACACAGGACCTGATGCATATCAGGACAAAGACGTCCATCCTGGTTAGCCCTCACAGGTGTCTGGGCTTCTTGGGCAGCCTCTCATAGTAGGCATGTCCTTGATTCTTGAACCATTCAGCCCATTTATCCGCCCGGATATCCCAAGCCAACATCTCATTCCAGATGCCCAATGCTATGCCCTGCCATCTCCATGCTTGCAGAGGGAGAGCGACACTAGCCTTGGCCAGGGCATCTGCCTTCTCATTCCCATCTATTCCCCTATGACCGGGGACCCACCTCCAGGACACCTTCCCAAACACATTGCACGCTCATGTCACGACATCCCAAAGATTGGCAGTCTCATCATCGGGGGCCATGTTCCTTACCATCATCATGGTAGGAGGGCGGTCTGAAAAGACTGTGACAGACAGCCCTGTGTAGGAGTCCGCCATGGCCCCTAGACCATCTATGGTAGCCATCATCTCGTATTCAATGATCGACCATTCAACCAGAACAGAGAATCCTTGAGAGCGCACAACATTGCCCCTCACAACACAGATCCAGGCTGCAGCCGCACCCTGAGAGGAGTGGGAGCTATCAGTGTACAGGATGGACTCCTCGAGGACCAACTGCCAGCCAAGCCACAGATTATGACTGACCATGGCTGTCGCCTTGTCCGGGCCAATATAGACCTCCGGAACGGTTGTCCTGACCACACCTGACGTCATGGGGGCAGCCTGGAAGCGACCATCACCCCAATCCTCCTGAATAACGCCCTGCCGCGGCATATCCTCATTGTATCGATATGTAATCATCTGCACAAAGCACCTCTGCTGCATGTATCTCCGAGTAACATGGACCAGGGGACATCCAAATTCACTTGACAAGATATTGCTGGCAAGTCTTATCGGCATCCAGAACAGTGACCGGAAACAGTTATTGACATGCACCTGGATTTGCCTCACATATGATGCGTGGTCGGTCACAAATTCTAGGCCATAGTACACTTTTGGCAGGTAGGCTGCTTGGATCAGTCGGAGCCTCTCCCACGCCCCCAGCCCACCCTCACCGCCCCACCTCCTCGTCATTGCAGCAATCTGCTACTGCACATCCAGCCCCTTCATGAGCCAATGCCCAACGTGGTCATCCCAGTGTGCGAAGCGGTTGAGGAAGTAACCAAGCACTTGAAGGCATTCAGCCGCAACCAGCTCGGACTCGTTGAGCACCATCAGCTCCTATGTGGTATCACTGAATCCTATCCACGTCAACTTCTGTACGGAGAAGTCCATATTCCTCCCTTGGACAACCTGGTGGCAGTCCTTGAACATTTCGAGCACCACCCCCTGGCATGCTTCCTGTGAACAGGCCAATGCTAGGATCACCCCGTCATCCACATACGACAAGACCACTCTTCTAACCGAGAGTGAATACCTGAATCAAGGCCGAAAAATGTTGGCAACAGAGGCTGCAAAGAGAAAGGATGAGAGTAGGGATCCCTGGGGGACCCCAAGCATAGTGAAGAATGGTCACAAGACGCGTCCGTTGAAACAAAACCGGACAATCCTCCTCAGACACCATCTCCGAACCTGTAACAGACAGGGTCTGAGGGTTGGGTAGCCCAAGGCACACCACGATCAGGACAGGCAGGATTCTGAAGACAAGGACTAGGTGCGGGGGTACAACCGAAGCAAGTTGTACTAGGTTCGGGGTTCAGGGGTTCAGGGTCAGGGTTCAGAGGTTCAAGGAGACGCCAGATAGTAGAGAGTGTAATTCCTAGGTACAGGTGTCTGAAGGAGATTACCAGATTGCATAAAGAAAGTAAAATATAAAGGGGTATACTCCTTTATATACTAAGGAAATCCTCCATGATCACTAATACAAAAGAAAGCTCTTGGCATAGCGCGCAGCTGCGACTTTTCCGTCAGGTTCTACCATCTTCCGTTGCGTGGCAACGCATCCCAATCACTCAGTACAAAGGAAATCCAACCATGCAACCAAGAAAACCCCAGCCAATATATGCAATAAAAAACCACTGCACGTTCCATCTCCCTAGTCGGGTGGCCGTGACAGAACCCACAACACATGATTGCGAGGTGCTCCCTCTAGCTATCAAAAAGTCTGAGAGCAGGTCATGGTCGATGTGGTCGAATCCACCCTCAATGTTTATGGAGAGGACCATGTACTTCATACCTTGGTTATGGCTCAAAAACTCGAGGACAACAGCCATGGCATTGTGTACGCCCCTCTTCCTCCGTGACCCGAATTGGGTCTCCTCCAGCTCCAAATATCTAGCCAGCCACAGCAGCACAATCCGTTCCGTTATCTTGGCCACAACTGGGAGAAGATAGATCATCCGCCTAGCCTTAACCACGTGGTAGTCAGGTTTGTCGGCCTTCTCAATGAGCACAGTCTCAGCTGAGTGCCAGTCGGGCACATCGAAGCGCAGGCAGTGATCTATTATTCAGCGGAAGGCAACGTCGTTGGTCGGCTTGAGGTGATGAGCAAATGTGTATGTCATATTGTCCTTACCAGGAGTAGTCTTAGTAGGACTCTGGGCTATGGCAATGTCCAACTCAATGCAGGGTTCCATGCTGACTTCGGATACTACCCATGGGATCGGCGAATCAGTGGGAGCCAACTGCTCTCCAATCAAGGTCGCTACATCTTTGTGAGTTCTCGCGACCCAGCCCTCAGATCATTTCATAGAGGGTAGAGTCCTCTTGGTCTCCAGCTTACGAACGAGCTAGAATATGTTGGGATTATCAGAGCAGGATATCCTATAGGAAATGAATACATTACAACCATTCATCATTTGGAATGAGTATATGTGCCGGGCCAATCAATAGTCAGCCAGCTCTACCGGTGAGTTCCCAGCCCTTCTCCTCAACCATTGAACATCACTCCTTAGCGACTCGAGCTCGTCCATCCACCATGACAAGGCCTTCACCTCTGATCGCTTCTTAGGGATTCCGTCAACCAGACTTCTCATCAGATCCTACAGCTCACCATCCAGGGTGTTATCTGCATCCGCCCAGGTCTTGTTGATCGCAGACCAGTCCGCTTTCTTCCAGTGAGGCTTGGCTTCCACCGCATCGCTTGGTTTCAACCACTGGAGTTCCGCAAGTTGGGCCACATGCTGCAGCCTGACCTTGTCTGAGTACGAGTGCCGTACCCCCAACAATCGGGTGAAGCACAGGTTGATCTGGGTAATGCCGCCACAGGTAGGTTCCAGACAAGGCAACAGGTTGAAGGCACAGCTGTTTGCCAACACCCATAGAGCCTTTCCCCTCGTAGCACTACTCGGTGAGATTGGGCCGACCTCCCATGATTCATGCCGGGCATTGAAATCGCCCAGCAGTACGTCCTTGTCACTGATGGTATCGAGGGAGGTCCTAAGTATGCCGACCAGGCTGCTCTGGTGCAGATACACCCCCCCAACTGACCTCCTCACCCCCTCCCCATCTCTATAATACATGG